AGCCAGTGCACATACACCGTGTGTGCTGCTACAGACCTAGGCTATTTAAAAAAAAAAAAAAAAACCAGGGCTCTAGTTTGATTCTGAATGACAGGGAGCTCTCTATTGGTCAGAGGAAATAGGTGGTATGAATGAGGTGTTAAAAAGAACTCTTGGGCTGCAGGGCCAAGTTGAGGGTAGAGACCCCAGTAGATGCTGCCCCAGTAGTCCAGGATCTCCATGTGTAGGCTGAGAAGGGAGCAGAGGAGGACTGGGTCCTAGGGCCTTTGAAGCCAGAGGTAGGAGGATGTACCGATGGCTGGATGAGGAGGCGTCAGAAGACAAATGAATCCCAACTACCAATTTCCAGAGAGGACAGAGGAACGAGATAAATTCCTCTCCAGGGAATACAGTCCACACGGCGGGAAACTACAGCACAAAGCACTTGCTTTCTCTGATAAATTGCAAAGAAACAAGGGAAAGGCCTGGTGCTGGTTGGTCGCGCCTGTAATCCTAGCTACTCAGGAGGCTGAGATCTAAGGATTGCAGTTTGAAGCCAGCTGGGGGTAGGAAAGTCCATGAGACTCTCATCTCCAATTAACTACCAAACAAGCTGGAAGTAGAGCTACGGCTCAAGTGGTAGAGTACTAGCCTGGAGTGAAAAACACTCAGGGACAACTCCCAGGCCCTGAGTTCAAGTCCCAGTACCTGGCACACAGAGGAAACACACTGGGAGAGACACTAAGTAGTAAGCCAGTATGGGGTCATCAGCCTGGACCTTCAGTCCCCACCTCCTATCTTCCTCTGCTGCCTCTAGGTGGGCCCTCCTGGGATGTGTGGCCTCAGGAAGGCCCAAGTGTGGCAGAGTGAGGCTGAGGAATGCTCGGTCTCTGCCAGGTCCTAGGAGGAGTGGCAGAGCCCTGGACCTCCTACCCAGAAGGTTCAATGAGGTGAATTATTTAAGATGTCCAGCATCAGCAATCTGGGCCCATTGGGCTACCAGCCTTATAGTCATGTCCTCCTGCCATGTCCTGCACAGATCCTCCCAGATCCTGAGTCCTCCTTCCCTGCAATGCCCACCTTCTGCCCCTCTGAAGCTGGCCATCCTTTTCGTCAGATCTCCTCCTACAGATCAACCACCCCAGCCTTTGGAGCAAGCCTGCCCAAGCCCTGACACGGCATGCAGAGGCAGAGTGGACCTCCCCTCTAGAGCCAGACTGCATGCCTGTGGGTCCAGGCCCAGCCCCAGCTCCCTGTGTGATGTCAGGCAAGCCACTGCACCTCAGTACCATCTATACAATGGGGAGAAACTCACATGGTCACAGCAAAGACCAAGAGAGGCAATAGCCCATGAGGGGCCCACTGAGAAACTAGGTACAAACAAAAAAAAAAACATATAGCAGCCCATGACTCAAACACCACCAGTGAAGAAGGCAATTTACATTTCATCTTTTAGATTCAAAACCAAAAAAACCAAACCATTGTCAAGTGCATTTTGGTTATTGTTGTGTTTTTTTTATGGGTAATCATGTTTGTTGTATGTGATCTAAAGAGCACAAGGTGACTGCAGTGAAGAGGAAGCAGCTCCCGTCTCCCTGGCACTGCCCTAAGAGCTGGGTCCCAGCGGCAGCTAGCTGTGCAGCAGTAACAAGCTGCTATGCAAATATGAACACAGAAGCTTTGCCGGGTGCTGGTGGTTCACTTCTATAATCCTAGCTACTCAGGAGGCTGAGATTTGAGGATCACAGTTTGTAGCCAGCCTGCGCAGTCCCTGTATGACTTATTTCCAATTCACCACTCAAAAACTGGAAGTGGTGCTGTGGCTCAAAATAGTGGAGTACTAGCTTCGAGCAAAAGAGCTCCGGGACAGTGCCCAGGCCCTGAGTTCAAATCACACAATTTACAAAAAAGAAAAAAAAAGAATGTGTTATTTAAAATATAGATTTGCGTAGCACTGGTGGCTCACGTCTGTAATCCTAGCTACTCAGAAGGCTGACAGCTAAGGATTGTGGTTCAAAGCCAGCTGGGGCAGTAAAGTCCATAAGACTCTTATCTCCAATTAACCACCAGAAAACTGGAAGTGGTGCCACGGCTCAAGGTGGTAGAGCATTAGCCTTGAGCAAAAGCGTTCAGGGACAGCGCTTAGGCCCAGAGTTCAAACCCCATGACTGACCCAACAAAAGAAAAACAAATAGATTTAATTAGGCCTTTGTATTTTATCTGGCAAGCCTCCCCCAGTCCCCACTCAGGATTTTAAACCTAGTGATGGTTAATAGTAGTCATGGTTCTGATGCTCCCAGCCCAGGGGCCCGAGCTTGAGGTCTACAGGGGTACCACCCCACTTCACAGACCAGCTTCTCTTCCAAGATGGCACCACCCACTTCCCTGGTGTTAGAGCTCCTGTCTCCCCAGAGCCAGTTTTTCCCTTGGGCCCATCTCCAGGCTTCAGCCTGCCCTTCTGATGTTGAACACCATCTATTGCCCTGGATGGTGGGGGTGCTGGCTGCAGGCCTTCTCTGCTAGTAGCCTGCCCAAAGGCAGGCCACACCCAGGGCCAGATGGATGCTGGAGGCTGGGGTCTACTGGCAGGCAGGACTCTGAAGGGCTACTCTGGCTCCACAGCGCCACAGGATCCCCTGAGGTTGCCTTTGGAACTGCATTACAGCTCCTGCTTCTCCAGGGAGGACCCCCACATTCGTGAGCCCCCACCCCTGTCCTTTGTGTGCCACAATCAGTTGCCAGGGAGCCATTCTCCAAAGCATCCTCACTGGGCACATACGAATGTCCCACCAGGGCCCTCACCTCCTAAGGTTGCTCCTGAGGTTGGTGAAGAGACTTAAATCACTCACCCACTCCACAAATAGAAGCTAGAGCTACTGGAAATGGGACATGGTGTGTATGTGTGTGTGTGGGGGGGGGGGGGGGACAGGACACAGATCCTGCACCCAGGGTCTCCATAGCTCAGGTGAGATGATAGTCAAAATCAGGAAAAGACCCTGTGACATGAATAGGGGCCCCGGGGGGGGGGGGGGGGGGAGTTATGGTGGAGTACAAGAAGGAGAAGCTTCTGGAAGGAAGAGAAGTCTCAGGAGAGAGGAGGCCTTGCAGGTGAGAACTGAAAGCAGCTCTGCGCAGCTGGAGGCAGAGGGAGGGTGGGAGGGGACTCATGGGGGCTGGGAGGGTGGCCCAGCCCCTTCAGGGAGCTGGGGGGGAGGGAGGGCCAGGAAGTGCATGGCAAATGTTGACAGCCCTCCCACACTTTGTCTGTGGTCTTGTGGCAAGGCCAGAGCTTCTGAGAGCAGCCCCTTCTTCTCCACACCTGGGCATGCTTCTTCTCCATGGGACAAGCTCATGTGACTTATCAGAGCTTAGTGAGAGGACCCCAGGGGCTGAGGAAGACCTGGTGGGCCCTCCACCCTCAGATGCCCGCCTGGGATTTCTTCTCAATGGTTGAGACAGCGGCAGAGACCCCTGGTTAGAGGATAACATCCAAGACACAAGTGCCAACCCGGTAAGCCTAGAGCAAAGAGACCTTCACCAGGAGCTCCCAGGACTGGCCCCGAGCCCTCACACCAGAGGATCAAAAAACCTTCTAGAACAGCAGAACTTCAACCTTTGGCTCCAAAAGCCATAGCTGCCCATCAGCTTCAGGCAGAGGAAGCGCCTGAATGGACCTGTCTGCTTTGGGTAGCTCGTTGGTCCTGGGGTTTAGAACGACAGCGCAAGAAGGGGGTTCCCCTGACCCTTCAGGCGGCCAGCGATTCCCTAGAGTTCACATGCAATCATTCCTTTTACTTAGTGCAACGCCTGGTTGGGTTCAGGGGTGACGACAGAGATGAATCAGACTCCTAGCCTGAAGGCACTTTGATCTAGAGGGCGACAGACAGGGCATAAATAACCAAACCACAAGGCCGATTTAGCCTGGGTCTAAGAACACCAGGAAGAAGGCAAGGATCAAGGATCTCACCTGGGCGATGAGGGAAGTGGGTTGTGAGGGGGGATTTGGATGTATGATGCCCAGGAGAGTGAGTAGAGCTTCTTAAACCATTGACGGACAGCCCATTTGGCACCCCGGCAGTGCCAAGAGGCCCCTGGCGGTGGGAGCTATTTTTGGTTATGCTTAGAAAAATAAAAGGTAGCCACGTGTGTCACTGTCCCTGGGGTCTGAGCTGGGTTTGGGGGGTTACCAGGCAGCTACGGCTGTAAACTGGGGTTTAAAGGTGGGTTTGGCCAAACTCGGCCTGGGTGGAGGGGGAATGCCACTCTGTCCCTGGCACCTTAATGACCCCTTTAACCTTTTGCATGGCCCCCTGAAAGGGGAAAGCAAAGGATGTGGGGAGAAGAGTATGTGACAGGCAGCCTGAAGCCAGCAGGGATGGCCAGGCGTGGAGTGGAGCCTCTGCTGCATCTTTGGGCCTTTCAGCATCACCCCCTCTCCTCCCCTTCCCTCCCTCCCTCCCTCTCCTCCTCCTCCTCCTGCACCTCTCCTCCTCACTCAGCCATGGGGGAAGGGGTGGAAGGACAGGGGGAAGTACCTGTAATCCCAACCAGACAGGCCGCATCAGCTGCTGTGCGTCTCCCCATCCCACTCTGATCCATAAATAGCCTAAGCACCAAGATAGCAGCAGCCCACCCGTCCCAGCTGGTACCAGACCCACCACTACCAACACACAGGCCCAGGAACCTGGATCACCCAGGCCGCTGCTCCCCCCCCCTCCCCACCAAACAAAAACAAAAACAAAAACCTCTTCCCTGCGCTCTCCCAGGGTCACGGCCTCCGCTGCCTGCGCAGGGACCTCCTGGCACTGCCTGGATGAAGCTCGCGAGTGCGGCGCCCGCAGGGCATCGCCCGGCGCGCGCCCACCCGGCTCCGACACCTGCCCGGACCCTGCCCCGACCCGACCCTGCCCGGCCCAGCCCGGCTCTGCCCCGGGCACCGTCCCCGCCGCCAACCTCGCCCTCGGCAGCTGCCCCCAATCACCTCCACCTGAGCTCTGGTTCCAACGCCAGAGCCCCCCTACCTGGCGGCAGGAGCGCAGGGCACCATCGGCGGCGCCGCGGGCCCTCACGGGTGTGGCGGGGCCCGGCCTGGAGCCCGGCGGGCTTCCCGGGGGAGGAGGCGGAGGCTGGCGCCGCGGCGGCCGCGTCTCTCCCGGCTCTGCCGGGCCGGGGAAGGTCAGCGCCAGCCGAGGCGAGGGGAGCGGGCGGGAGGCAGGGAGGAGGCCGGGAGGAGGCAGGGAGGGGGGAGGCGAGCGCAGATTAGAGAAGCATTTTTAGCGAGCCAATGGCAGCGCGGCCGGGGCGGCGCGGTGGCTGCGCAGGTGGCGGCGCCGCGGAGCTGGGGAGGCGGCGACCGGCTTAGCCCGAACCGCGGGCGGGCGGGGGGCGAGGCGCGCGGCGGGGGCGCGCTCCCCGGGAGTCGGGGGTCCCCGCCGCACCGCGGGCGGCCCCCGCCCCCTGCGCCTCCCCCGCCCCGCCCTGTCTGCCTGGGTGTTTGGTCTCCCCTTAGTCCCTAAATGTATGGTGAGGCTTGGGGGTGCTCTACCTGTGCCCTCGTCTGCCCACGTACCCCGTGCGCAGTCACCAACCCTCAGGCCACAGACCCAGTGGGGCTTACTGTCATCAAAGAGGACACCAGGCCTTCTCTCTGCTGCCTGGGATTAGGGATGTGAGGGTCAAGGCTGGCGCTCCACCACTTGAGCCACGTCTCCACTTCTGGCTTTGTTCGTTTTTGCTGGTCCTGGGACTTGAACTCTGGGCCTGGGCACTGTCCTTGAACCTCTTTGTGCTCAAGGCTAGCTACGACGAGCCACAACAGCATTTGCCGCATTTTCTGAGTAGTATATTGGAGATGAGAGTCTCATGGACTTCCAGAACCACAGGTCTCAGATCTCAGCCTCCTGAGTAGCTAGGATTACAGGCGTGAGCCCCCAGCCCCCAGCACAGTACTTCCGGCTTTTTGCTGGCTGGTTGGAAATACTCAGATTTGTCCACCCAAAAGCTTTCTTTCTTCCTACTTTGAACCCTGAATGCTTCCAGAAAGTCACACACTGCGCAGTGGAGGGGGGCTTCAAGCACGTGATTTGTTCAGTACATGTCTGTGGGAGGCCTACCATGTGCCAGGCAACCACTGATCCGTTGGACTATGGCAGAGACAAGACAGACCAAACCTCTGCCCTTCTACTGCTTGTGGGGGAAGAAGACTCGTGTTCAATGTCAGTAGCAGAAGAGCTACTGTGTGTTTTAAGTAGTATTTTAAGTGCAAAATAGAGAGAAAGGACAGGAGAGTGGCTAAAGCTGAAGAGGTCCCAGATTGTCAAAGGTGAGAGGTGGGTAGTGAGCCCCACAGACCCCCCTACTCCCACTCCAACAGTTCCTGAGCCCAGCTGCCCAGTCCCTGTCCCCAGGGAGTTACTGCAACCAAACAGTGAATGTAAGGCACCTAGACTGGCACCTGAAACCTACGAGGTATGCAAAATACAGTACCTTATTTTTATTTTCTTTTTTCTTTTGTACTGGTACTGAGGCTTGAAGTCAGAGCCTTATGCTCTTGCTTTGATCTTTTGCTCATGGGTGGTGCTCTACCACTTGAGCTGTATCTCTACTTCTAGCTTTTGGTCGTTGATTGGAAATGGACTTTCCTGCCCAAGCTGACAGTGAACCATGATCCTCAGGTCTCAGCCTCCTGAGGGGTGGGGATTACAGGCATGAGTCATCAATCAGCACCTGGTAGTACCTATTGTTTCTATAAATGTTACCTATAGGCACCACCCAAATGTCTCCCCTTTGGGTATGTTATAGTTCTTTTTTTTTTTTTTTTGAGGGGGGTCCGGTCGTGAGACCTGAACTCTGGGCCTGGGCGCTGTCCCTCAGCTCTTCAGCTCAAGGCTAGTGCTCTACCACTTGAGCCACAGCACCACTTCTGGCTTTTCTGCTTATGTGGTGCTGAGGAATGGAACCCAGGGCCTCATGCATGCAAGGCAAGCGCTCTACCACTGAGCCACCTTCCCAGCCCTGGGTCTGCTATAGTTCTATGAGCCCCTGCTTCTCTTAGATCCTTAGAACTGTCTTAATGAAAAGAGGCTGATCACACCCCCAGGAGGTTCTAAAGAAAAGAGAGGACAGGAAATTCTCCCTTTCCTTTCTCAGGCATTAGCCTGGTCTCTGTGCATCATCCAGAACTTTCTATGTGTGCCAGTCCTGGGGCTTGAACTCAGAGCCTGGTCACTGTCCCTAAGGCTTTTTTGCTCAAGGCTGGCACTCTACCACTTAAGCCACAGCTCCATTTCTAGCTTTTTGGTGGTTATGAGACTCAGGGACATAAGAGCCTCATGGACTTTCCTGCCTGGGTTGGCTCCAAACTGTGATCCTTAGATCTCAGCCTCCTGAGTAGCTGGGATTACAGGTTTGAGCCACCAATGCCTAGCTTTGTCCAGTGCTTTGATGGTGAGGTTTGAAGAGGCAGAAAGTCCAGCCTAGGCCCTCACTGATAGAGGACATGCAGTGTCCCTTGGCAACCAGGCATTTGATGGAGGGTGGCAAGAGAAGATATGTACAGATTGGGAAGGGGGCAAAACATAGGAAAGGGGAAGTGGAGGCAAGGGAAGTGGTCTTCACCTTCTGGGGCACCATGAACCATGAGCCAGATCAGAACCCAGAAGAGAGGTGGAGGAGGCAGCCCAGTGTGTTCTATCAGGCTGGGATTGAATCAGACCTCAGTGGCCACAACTTGGGGGAAAATGGAAAAGGAACACCCACACACACACCTGCCCTGCACAATCAAAAATAAAACATTATTTTAAGAACTGACACAGAACTTCCATGCTTCCTAAAATTAAACTAGGGGCTGGGAAGGTGGCTCAGTGGTAGAGCGCTTGCCTTGCATGCATGAGGCCCTGGGTTCAATTCCTCAGCACCACATAAGCAGAAAAAAAAAGTCGGAAGAGGTGCTATGGCTCAAGTGGTAGAGCGCTAGCCTTGAGCTGAAGAGCTGAGGGACAGCGCCCAGGCCTAGAGTTCAGGACCCAAAAAAAAAAAAAAGATACATTAAACTAGGTTTTTTTTCTAGACTTTCTGTTTGTAATGCTATGTTCATGCAAGATCAACTTCCCTCCTTTCTCTGTGTGTGTGTCTCTCTGTCTTTCTCTGTCTCTTCTTTTTTCTTTTTTTTGGTCCGGTCGTGGGGCCTGAACTCTGGCCCTAGGCGATGTCCTCAGCTCTTCAGCTCAAGGCTAACACTCTACCACTTGAGCCACAGCGCCATTTCCAAATTTTTTCTTTTTTGCTTATGTGGTGCTGAGGAATCAAACCCAGGGCCTCATGCATGCAAGGCAAGCGCTCTACCACTGAGCCACCTTCCCAGCCTTCTCTTTCTGTCTTTCTTGCTTTCTTCTCTGTCTTACTGTTTTGTGCCCCTGCTCAGAGAATAGACATTGGGGCGGGGGGCAGGTTCTGGGGGCTTGAATTCAGAACCTGGACTCTGTTAGCTTTTCTGCTCAAGGCTGGTGCTCTACCACTTAAACAACAGCTTCACTTCTGGGGGTGGGATGGGGGGTGGGGGGGTTGGCGGTTAATTGCTGATAATAGTATCATGGACTTTTCTGCCAGGTTGGCTTTGAACTAGGCTCTTTAGACCTTAGCCTCCTGAATAGTTAGGATTTCAGACATGAGCCATGGGGATCAGGACTTCCTCCCTTTTGACAGTGTTTTCTGCTCTTTCTAGCACTCTCCATTTCTCTTATTTCCCCTCAAAACACCTCATTTTTCTCTGTCCCATCAAATTGTGGTGGATCTGGGTCTCTAGGAGTGCTCCTGGTCGTCCTGTCAGAAGCCGCCTTCCTCGGACACCCCGACTCAGAGCAAGGAGGTAGACACAGCCCTCCCTGAGGGGTTTGCAGATATCTTTTTCCAGTGAAAGATATGAAAGTCTTGTAGACAGATGGACAAACCAGCCCCAAACAAGCATGTGAAATAAATAAATCAATCAGTGAATGAATAATGGATTGGTAATTAATACTACATGCCTGGCCTAGGAGAGGCAGGTGGCGGGAGCCTTTAGATACCTTTTGTTCCATTCAACATGCTGGCTTTGGGGAACAGGTAAGGCTTTTGAGATGTTTTCTATTTGGACCACATCTCTGGTTGGAAAAGGAGGTAGGATGGTATTCCAATTTTAGCAATAAAAGGCTCCAGCCCAGAGAGGGAAACAGACTCATTCAAGGTCACACAGCACCTCAGTGACAGAGCTGGGGCTAAAAACAGATCTTCTGACTTCTAGTCAGGTGCTGTTGCCAGTCACCCGATTCCTGACTTCTGCAAACGTGTATGCAGGCTTGGCCTGGCTGGAAAGAACAGAGAAAAGCCATTGGCCCTGCTACCCCAGTACGGTGCTTTATTTTCTGAGCTGGCTTTCAGCAGCAGGCACAGAGGGGTGCAGGACATTCCTGAGGGACAAAAATATTTTCAAAAGAGCCTCACAGCTCCTCTGCCCTTTTTTTTTTTTTTAATCCTCCCACTAGCTGGTTTCACACTTGCAAATAGGTTCCATCTCCTACTTGATGGATAGAAGCCATTGCTGGCTGTGCCTTCCATCCTGAGACCAGGTTGTCAGGAGCCCGGGGATTGTGGCTTTCTCTGACTCTGCCTCATGTCTGATTTATTTTAAAACACCCTAAGGACACCACCTAGAAGGAACCCTATACCTTGGCAAGTGTCTGGGTTTAGGATCCAGACCCAGCCTATGTAGGTGAAGGTGCGCTCCAAGACCTACAAAGACCAGGCCAACACAGCCTTTCCCTGACCCAGGCTCTTTCTATGACAATGGGAATAGCCATGATTACTAGCCCTCATGTTACAGACAGGGAAATTGAGACCAGAAAGGTTAGATCACATGCCCAAAGTCACACAGCTGGTAAAAGGTGGAGCTGGGAGCTGAGATTCAAACCCATACAGTCTGGTTCCACCAGTATGCATGCTCTAAGCTAGAAAAGATACAAATTCACTTGAGTGCTTTCTATGCCCAAGGGGGTTTTACATATCCGATCCTATTTAGGTAATCATCCTCACTTTACAGATGATGAAACTGAGGCTCATTGAGCCCTTTGGAGAGACCTTTCTCAA